ATGTCTATGAAATCTATGAAACTGCATGCCTACTCTTTTCTTCTGTGAGGTTCTAGGAAACTGCCTCAGTGGGAATCTGCAAAGAGGAACATGGCTTCCCCGTACCATATACTACACGAGCCTATGGGAAATGTACCTGGACCGTCACAGAAAATTAGAACATTCTTTTCTGTGTTCACCTGCTGCTCTCTTCATTCTCAGGATGGCTCTGGAAGAAACCAGGGTGTGCAGAAGCAGCTGCAGAGAAGATGCAGCAGGACTCAGGGCTACTTGAAAGAGCATCAGATGGGCTATCGTGTTCACATATCTATGAAGCCAGTCAGGTATGATGTTTTAGTGAGTTATTGATACCAAGTTTCACCCCTTTTTGTACTCAGCATTTTTCAGAAGGGGAAGGGTGAGAAAGAGGTAAACAGTGTTGGGGATGTGGCATTTCATCCACCTCAGTTCCTTCTGGTCTCCCACAGATGGTTTTTCTCCCTTTCCTGACTCCCTGCCACAGTTCCCTTTCCTCCTCTTCCCTTACACCCAAGTAACAGGTCTGGGTCCCCGTTACATGGCTATACAAAGCCACTTTGTCCAAAAACTCTAAAATGAATCAGAAGTATTGAGGACATTTAATTATTATCCTTGTAGGAGGATGCAATCTCTTATCTAATACATCTCTCAAGTACTATTTTAAAGACAAAAAAATCAAAACTTGTGGAAGAGGTGATATCTTTTATTAGACCGCCTAGGTATTTGCAAACAAATTATTGTATTTTAAAGACAGTACATTCAAACACCCATTACCCATGTATTGCATGGCTTATTTGGAAGCTATGTATATATCTACGAGAACAGAAATTAATATACACACACTGATCTTTATAGAAAAACAAAGGATAGGATAATTTTTATGCATATTTTCTAATCACCTTCATATTTAGTGACCTACAAGTTAAAAAGCATCATTTTCAGATTCTAGGTTTTCACTGGAAAGTGATCCTACCAGTTCACATTGTTCATCCGAAGCATCACAAATGACATTTTCTTGGTTAGCAAAATAAATATACCTATTTTGCAGTGAAAAAATGGGATGAGAGCTCAGCAGCTGTTAGCCTTACAAACTCTCCCAAATGTGCCAGTAAGTAAGTTTCAAACTATGAACTAAGACTCAGTCAGTGCAGGTTTTGCCTACATGAAGATACCAGGATACCATATACAGAAGGCAAGCTACTGATAACATTTGTTTGAAATAAAATATCAACTGTCTAGAGAGATGGACGGACTGCCAGCTCTTTAGTTTCCAATGGAAAGCCGTAGGTCACAAAGAGCACTCAGGTATTCTTCATTACTAGAATCCCATGCCAGGGCCTTCTCATAGCATTCAATTGCTTCTGACTTCTCTCCATTCAACTGGTGAATGAATCCAAGAGCACCAAAATCTGCAGCATCTGCCGATCCTCTCTGAATTCTCTTTTCTACCAGTTTCTTCAGAGCGTTCATGCACATCTTTCTTGTTGCGTCTTCCTCAATTTTCAGCGCTTCCATGAAGTGTTTAATAGCATCAGCTTCTGATTTTTTGTGAAATTCCAAAAACTGTCCATAGCGGCAGTGGATTTGTTGTTTCTCTTCACAGGTTAATTTCATATTCAATACTTTCTGAAAAGTGTCTTCT